ACTCTCCAGCGGCAGCCATTGTTGTTGTCACCCAAGCGCGCTTTGGTGACGTGGTTGATTGATCATCTGTCCATCATTGTATAAAGCCCGCCCTGACAATTTGATTGGCCTGCCAGATATTGTGCGAGCATACTCGCGCTACTATTGAGCAATGCCAGACCGAACTTCCCGACCTCAAACGTTGTGGGCGGGACTAAGTTAGGAATGGCACCCAGGCTAAAGCAGAACACCAAGTTATTGGACACTTCGTGTTTCTCCCCTTACAGATCTATTTAACATTTTAATTTAAATTGTTTCTTAAACTTGGGTCTACAGGAGCATTTGAAGTAGTTCACTTTGTTTTTTGGGATTCAAAACCTTCTGCCAGAAGGAAAGAGCTCATATTCCCTATGGAGGATGTGGGACGGGTCCAGCAGTCCTGCCACCCCTGCCTGAGTACAGACTGCTCATAGATGGACTGAAGGCAGAGCTGTTCATTTCTCTCCATCAACTTGATAGCAGTATAAACTTTATATGCGCTCTGTGTATAAAAATGAGAACAAAGTTAGTCTAAGTCAGTCTGTACCAGGAGTGGCAGCCTTGTGGAGATGCTGCTGAAGCACGCCGTCATCCCAAACCTGATGACACTCTCCATCACTGCCTGATAGAATAAAAACATGATGTTCAGACTGAAGCCAAACAGCATCAGTCTGACTTAAAAGTACGTCCTTTGCTGTAAACGGGAACATATGCAGTCAACATGATCACCCCACCTTAAAAGGTTATCCAGGTGGATACGTACCTGCATACCCTTTAATAAAGGCGAGATAAGCTGGTCAGAGAAATCTCCTTGGTGAAAATATAACCTTTGAGAGTTCAGTGGAGTTTCCCCTTCCACCTTTAAATCTGATCAGATGTGTAAAGTCAGAGCTAAGAAGGAGTGACTCGGGTTAAAAGATATTTATCTGCTCAAATGGTTTGTTCAGTGTTCAGCCTCAAATGGGCGGAAAGAAATCAAGCAAGACTTTAAAATCCACACTAACTGGCTTTCACTATGTTTCTGATTTTATTTATTTAGTTTTTCCATCGTTTTTTATTTTCATTCCACTGTCACAAGTACCGAGCAATGAAATTCGCTCTCTGCATTTAACCCATCCCCTTAGGGAGCAGTGGGTTGCCATTGTGCGGCGCCCGGG